ACCCCTTACCTATTTTAATATCCTTTTCATTGTCTCTTTCTTCTGATATTTTCTTTTTATCCTTCAACAAATTCGATTGGTGGGCGCGAAAACTGCGTACCTCAGGGGCAGTTTGTTCATTTCATTGTAATTGATTGAGTTTTTTGATGGATTGACATTTTTTCTAGGTTTTCACTCTCAAAACATTAAACAGTAGAGCTCCACAGTGTGTGTATGTGGATGCTCAGTGGTTAATGATTTGCACACTGAGAAGGTTTCGATGAGTCCGGCATGGGATTCGGCTGTGATGCTCTTATCGCAGGTTAGTTGAAACTCCATTTACCCAAGAATCTCCTCAAAAGTTGTCATCCTGCTTGAAACTATTGCACCTTGACGAATTTGAGTACCATTCAAAGCTAACTGCATGCCAGTTTGATGATTCAGAGAATTTCAGGGAATTTCGAAATTTAAAAGAAAATTGTAATAAAAAATAACGAAATAAAGAGAAAAAAAAAAAGAAAAAGAGGGTAAAAAATGAAAATTAAGAAATCTGTGAGTTTAAAGGTCCAAAAGCCTCAAGGAGTCCCGGCGATCTATGTTAAGCTCATATCCCCTAAATTACACAGATTTCTTCATGGCGACGAATTTAGTTAGAATTTCGGTGATAATTTTCAATGATAATTCCTTGGATATTCCATGGACGGGTGATAACTTTCAGCGAAGAACTCCATTTTCGAAGTACTCTTTCCCTAGTTTAGTGTTTTAAAGAAAAAGTGGAGAGATCATAACCATCGTGCCAATGAGATCCGGTTTTGATTCTGAATAGAAGTGTATACGACTTGATGGACCGAAATTTATTCCTGTTCATCTAATTTTTTGATATTTTTATATATATATACGCTATTATTAATTTTGTTTTACATGCATATATGTATATCACTGTTAATATCTTTATTGGAGTTGAGGGATTGACTCTGTTATTGTGATAATTTTGTCTACAATTGTACGGCTCGTTTTGATGGTAACTTGGTATTGGTATATTTCAAAGAGTCAAAATTTAACAGATAACTTTTTTTGATAAGAAGACGGAATTACTGCTCAATAAGACTACTGCCAGCTTGTTTCTAGGCAGTTCTCGAAAGAAAGGATGGATTGTTGTTTAATTGTTGGCGAATTCTTCCTGCTCAAGCTACTCCTGGGTCCTTTCGCCTCTCATATAGGATAGATGTCGTGAAAGTTCTGTCTTTTGACTTGCCCTTTTTTTCGTTATTTCTAGCCATATTTAGGCGGAATTTCAAAAATTTGTGGTGAATTGAGGAAATTTTTTTTCGGAAAATTTAGAAATCGCATTAGCTAAATTGATGCGTACCATGTTCCAGGTGGCTTTCTTTTTGTTTGGTTGGC